TTTTGAATTAAGTGTTTTTCTTGTATGCAGCATATTATTATATCTTGCTTCCTGACCCATTCTACCACTTATTTCTTTTGATTGGTGAATTGAGACCATTAACATTGATGGTTATAACTGTTAGGTATTGACTTATCATTTTCATGACTTTTTCTTTCTGTAGCATTCTCCCCCTTTGTGTTTAATTTCTTGTCGTGCCCGATGGATTCATTCTGCTGGGCTTCCTGGGGTTGTGATCCTCATTGTCTTTCCCTAGGATATTGTCTAAAATTTTTTGTAGTGCTGGTTTGGTATTCATGAAGTTCCTAAGGTGTTATTTGTCATGAAAGTATCTTATTTCTCCATCAATTTTGAAAGATAGTTTTGCAGGGTACATCAATCTGGGTTGGAGGCTGTTTTCCTTTAAGACTTAAAATATGTGACTCCAAGCTCTTCTTGCTTTGAGGATTTGCCTTGAGAACTCTAGTGTGATTCTGATGGGCTTTCCTTTGTATGTGATTTGTTTCTTTTCTCTCACTTCTTGTAGAATTTTGATCTTCTGTTGGATTTCTGGAATCCTAATTATTATATCCCTATGTGTAGGTTTCTTTTGATCAAGGCTAGCTGGAGTCCTATATGCCTCACTTATCTATATGTCAAGTTCTTTTCCCCTGCTCGGGAAGTTTTCTGCCATCACTTCTGTAAACAGTTTTTTTATGTTATCTGTACTCCCTCCTATTTCTTCATTGACTCCAATCAGTCTTATGTTACTCTTCTTTGCATCGTCTAGCAGCTGCTAGATTGATTTCTCATGGTACGTTACTATTTGAAAGAAATTTTTCTTTTCCTGGTCACTAATTGCAATCTTATCTTCTATATCTGAAATTTTGTCCTCACGTTGGCTCATTCTGCTGTGTAAAGTTTCAATGTAGTTTTTAATCTCCTGGAAATCTGTTTCCATCTGTTTCATGGATTCCATTTGTTTCCTGTGTTGGGATTCCATCATGTTCCTCAGCTCCTCTATTTTTTTATCTGTGTCCTTTCTAGACTTAATTAATCATGTCTTGCACTATGGACACAATCTCTGCTGTTATCTGAGAAATTATTTCTGATTTCGTTTTTTCCACATCCTCTTTTGTTGCCAGTTCAGGGAGTCCAAGTGAATGAGTATCAGATTGTTCCATCTTGTTTCCCTTTGGGGTTCCTTTTGGTGATCTGGGAGTCTGGTTTTGAGACTTGTTTAAGTGTCCTCTCATTTCAATGTGGGGGGCCCACGTGTGCTGCTGACCCCCGAGTAGCTCACCTCCTCTGCACTGGATGTGGCTCTGCTCTTCCTTGATGCAGGTGGTGGTATGGTGGCCTGGAAGGTTCACCTCTGCGCGCTAAAAATTTTTCTTATAGATTAGCATCTCACTAAGTCACTAAATTGCCCAGGGTAGGCTCAAACTTTCAGTCCTCCTGCCTCAGCCTCCCCACAGAAGATAAAAATGTGGGTTAGAGATGCCAACATCCCTTTTCAAAAACCTAAACTTAGATGCTTGTTGGCAGATACAGTCAGAACATGGCATGTACAGGGTAACAGTTCCTGGGCCTTATCTGGAATTTTCTAGGATAGAGCGTAGAGTAATTGCCCTGGTATAGATCTTGAGGCTGCCGCTGAAACCTGTTACCATTCACTCCTGCACATCTACCCTAGGTCACAGCAAGAGTAAACAATGGGTCTGAAACCAAAGCTGCCCCCACTCCCTGTCAGCTTTCAGTTTTGTGTGTGTGTGTGTATTTTTTTCTTTTGTACCGGGGATCGAACTCAGGACCTTGCACTGCAAGGCAGGCGCAGTACCACTGAGCTAAATCCCCAGCCCTCAGCTTTCAGGGTTTTTTTTGAAGAATGTTGTTTTTCTTAAAAGCTCATCCAGGGCCCGGGGATTTAGCTCAGTGGTGCTGCCACCTGCCTGACAAGCACAAGGTCCTGAGTTTGATCCCCACTACAAAAAAAAAAAAAAAAAAGGTCATGCAAATTCTGTATAGTAAAATTATTTATTTATTTACTTTTCTTTTTCTTTTTTTCACTTTTTGGTGTACTAGGAATTGAATCCAGGGCCTTTGCACTGAGCTACATCCCCAACCCTTTTTATTTTTTGGGGGGAGACAGTCTTGCTAAATCACTAGATTGCCCAGGCTGGGCTTGGACTTACAGTCCTCCTGTCTCAGCCTCCCAGAATGCTTGGATTATAGGTGTGTGGCACCATGCCTGCCAAAATGCATTTTTATCTTCGTATAAAAACATGTTTTTGACTAAAATTGATATTTCATGAAGATACTTCAGGTGGATTTGAAAATTCCTGTGCATTCATGCTCAGTGTGACAGGAATGTCTACAACTCAGTTTTGTTTTAGAAATTATCCTCTAGTGATCTGAAAGCTAATATGTCAGACTTTGGCAATACAAATAAATAAATAAAGGGGTTACTAAATTATGTTCCTAACTAAAAGAGTATTTGTTTTAAACATTTCTAGGTTATTTGCCTGGGTGCAAAAGAAAATGATTTGCCACTGGAGTATCAAGAGAAGTTAAAAGCAATAGAACCAAATGACTATAAAGGAAAGGTCTCAGAAGAAATGGAAGAAATTCTCAACAAGGAAGAACAAAAACTCTGTAGAACATAATGGAATATGCCTAAGGATATTCTCTCTTTGTGCTAATATAAAATATTTTTAATGTTTGAGAACAGGGATTTGGGATATCTCCATCTTTATTCTATTTTTGACAGTACTCTGAAGAGGAGTTTCACTTGGGTGATTCCATACTTTCAGACTATGAAAAGAAGCTGGGTTAGGAGTTAGACATTTAAAGAGGGAGCTGTGAGGCGCCAGGATGCATGACAAATGGATGTGGGTACACCTTCTGTGGACACAAGCTATTTTATTAATTAATTTATTTTGGAGTTGCCCTTAAGGGTCTTCTTGGTCTGTGACAAAGGATAGGTTTGCGGCCTGCTTGATGATGGTGCTGGTGAATTGCTAGGTTTTTATTTTAATCAGCTTAGTAAGCAAGCTGCTGAGGCAGTTGATAATAAAATTTTGAAAACTGGAAAGACTGTTCTCAGAGGAATAAATGTATTTGTAGTTTAACCTATTTCTCCTCCTAAAATAATCTATTTCATTGTGCTGTTTAACTCGAATCGTCAGAGTACTGGAGCAGATCTTGGCCATGTGGATGTATTGTGAGGGAGCACTGCACAGATTGCCCAGACAGCGTAAGATCAGTGTCCAGTCCCACAACTTTCTAACTGTGAGATCTCTGAGCCATTCCCTCACTATGCTGTAAGGATAATCAGAACACCTACATCTTAGAATTGTTTTGAGAACTAAATGAGTCTATATGTATATAGTGAACTTAGCAGAGAGCCAGACACTTTATAACTGTTAGCAGTTAATTGTTCTTATTTAAAGAATTCAGGGCCAGGGATTTAGCTCAGTGGCACGTGCCTGCCTCACAAGCATAACGTCCTGAGTTCAATCCCCAGTACCAAAAAAAAAAAAGAATTCATTTTGTACAGGGCCATCCTTGGAACAGGCTTGTAAAATATAATCAACAGTCAAGATTTTGAAGGGAAGAATGTTTTGGGGGAGATAAATTTAATTCTTGGCTTATCAGGAAACATGACCTTCTAAAATTTATTTGATGAATAAACAGAAGGAAAGAAGAGTCAAGAATAAAGCAATACTGGTTTTCAGAAAAATCTCTCCTGCACCTATGGCATGCACTCACCTGTACCTTCCAAGCTGGCATAAGAGCAAACTGGTCTTAGGAACATAAAAATGCATTTTGGTTTCTTAGGTGAAAGTTCCAAAAGGGCTTTCAGTCTACATTGCCATCCTGTAGTGAAGCTGAGCTGTAGACCATGTTTCATAGCTGTCACACCTCAGTATTTTCACTATACCCTCTAATAATCTCATTTTTTCCTGGTTTTTAAGTTTTCCCAAGAAGATCCAAGTTCATCAGTGACCCAGAACCCAGTAATCGTAATGTAGTGAGTGAGGCCTAGTTTTGCTGTAGGTACCAAGAATTGAATATTCTAATAATCTGTCTCACTTACCTAAACTGACAACTTTCATTAAGGAATTCAGAATGCTAACAATAACACTTTCATATTTGGCCTTTTAACAAAAATCTGGTAATCATGAGGCATATTGTTTTCTTAGTTTGCAAAGTCATACTGTAAATTTAGGTCATATGTAAGAACTCGCTCTACCAGCTCTCAAACAACAGTACAAGATCTTGTTAAACTATAACAATCATCATTTTTGAAAAGCATTTCTGGACTTACAAGAAAATAAGGAACATGAACTTCAAAAGGTACCAACACTAGCTCCCCAAAAAGAAAAAGGAAGATGAACTGTGAGCTGAAGGAACAAACAACACTGGAAGAAATGACCCTGGGGTACAAATGCCAACAATAGCCCTGGAATTGGAACCCAGCCCTAGAGCACTACTGTGTGGAACAAGAAAGCCAACCCTGAGAACTCTGAAACCAAGACCACTGGTTCCCATGAGTGAGAGCAGAAAAAAAAATTTAGTTTGTTTAAAAACCAAATTTAGATCCTGAGGGTTTGTATTACTAACATTATCCAACAGACTATAAAGTATATATGGAGACTGACTTGTGGAAAGATGGAGTAGATATAATTAACATTTGCGTGTTACTGTAGTTAAGTACAGCTAAAATCCCAGAGCATTATACATAAACATCAGGAGGCTCTACAACATGGAAGGCAGAGATCTAGCTAGGAGCCTCAGGACCTAAGGCACACCATGGGGCTAAATCCTTTGCACTTTCTTCTGCCTCATGCATCTCAGACTTGTAGCTGAAGATGACATTAACCCAGTGGCCAACATGAAGAGAAAAAGCTTGACCTTTAGTCAAAGGACTAGGGAAGGTACAACTGAGCAAGGCAGAAAACAGTAAAAACTACTGAAGTCATGCTAGACAAAAAAATTTTGTGGATCCCCACCTCCACCCTTACCAAGAGGAAAATATAGATTTTCATACACACCAGGCTGTCATCAGGTACCCTAGCCTCACTACCACCATCAGAGTAATGTTAGAAAAGTAGGGAGCTTCCTGGCAGCCACAAGCTGCCCTCCCCCAGTGTGTGCATGGACCCATGTGGGGAGCCTGAACTTAATCCCCATCTGGCAATAATGGTGTCCCTTGCCCTCGCTGCTGGAATGGCTAAACTACAATATGCACGTAAGAGCCAGAGGCTCATAACAGTCTCCAAAATGCCAAGGCTTCAGTTGAAAATCATTCCAAGAATCAGGAAGATCCCAAACTAAAAAATGACAGTAGATGCCAAATGTGAGATGACAGGTATGTTAAGGATTTTAAAGCAGACATCATAAAAACATTTCAGTGAGCAGCAGCAGAGAACATGTTTGAAACAAGTAAAAGTATAGAAAGCCTCAGGAAAGAAATAGAAGGTAAAAGGAACCACATAGAAATTTTAATGTTAAAAAACAATAGGCCAGGGATTTAGCTCAGTGGTGCCGCCACCTGCCTCACAAGCACAAGGTCCCGAGTTTGATCCCCAGTACAAAAACAAAAACAACATAATAGCGAAACTTTAAAACTCAGTGGATGGTTTCACCAGAAGAATGGAGAGAACAGAAGAAAATCTATGAACCAGATGATAGAACAATAGAAAGTAACCCACTCTGAACAACAGAGAGAAATAGACTGGCAACAAAAACACCTGAACTGACAGAGCCTCAGGGACCTGTGTGACCTTAACAATAAAGCTGACATTGTGCCATGGGAGTCTCAGAATGGAAAAAGGGCAAGCTGAAAGTGTGCCCAGAGTGGCTAAAACATCCTGAATTTGGCAAAAGACATAAACTTGCTTATTCAAGAAGCTGAGTAAACCCCAAACATTAACCTACAGAAATCTACACCAAAACACATCATAGTCAATCTAAAAAATATAGAATTAATTAATTTTGGTATTTGGTGTTGAACCTAGGGCCTTATACATGGTAGTTAAGCACTCTACAAGAGCTACATCCTAAGGAAGCTTCCCCCACCGCCATCCCATGCTCCTAGGGCAGAGAAGCTGAGCAGGTCCCAGCACCCAGAAGGAAGCTCCTCTGCCACCATCCCAAGCTCCTAGGGCAGAGAAGGTGAGCCGAGTGGGCACCAGAAGCACACACCCCCACCACCGTGGAAATGAGAAGACACGTAAACAAGCCTCAAAAATAGACTTCTGGATCATCTACAGCAACCCCAAAGGGAAACAAGATGGAACAATCTGATACTCAACTACCTGGACTCTCTGAACTGGCAACAAAAGAGGATCTGGGAAAAATGAAATCAGAAATAATTACT